GGACAGGACCTTGGAAAAGGGACTCAGAGTCCTGAAGTCTAATTTCAGTCAGTCGTTTTACATTTCTGAAAGCACATCTTAACTCCTAACACGAAGGAATGCTGAGGGACTGGAGTTCTAGCCTCCTCCTCCTCCTGTCTTACACTGAAACAAACAGCAGGGCAGAAATTGATGGTTCATGCACAACTGGAGCAACTTATGGTGGGTGGGATAAAGATGTGGTTTTTGTTTTTAATAAATCCTATTTTACATCTGTTCTGCCAAAGGCCTTGAAGGCAAGCAAATGCTTACTGAGATCAACATATCTAGGAGCCCAGCCAGGGGCTCCAGCTCCAGACCTCCCACAGCCTCAGAAGAGGTCAGGTCAGACCCTCAGCATGTCTCCCTGTGCCTAAGGCCCAGGGCACATGTGCCGGGGGGTGGGCAGGCAAGGGCACAGAGGGTGCTTCTGGGAACCTCAAAGCCTGTGCCTTGTGGCAGTGATAACACTGGTAGGGCGGGGCTTTCCTGGGAGAAGGGGCCTTTTTTCATTGAGTGTCACCCCAAAGTTAGTGGAGAAGCTTCCCAAGGGACCACCTGGTGTAAACCCAAAGTGAAAAAGGGATCTCACCTCCCATGGAATGCCCCATCTCAGGGTCTGATTTAGGTTGTCCCTAGGTCCCTCTTCCACATACAGAAATGGCAGCCCACTTAGTAGGCAATGGGATGGAAATTAAACACCTTGCCTGAAATTCCACTTATTAGCACCAGTCCTTGGGCAAGTCCCTCCCTCTCTGATCTTCTTTTTTCTCACCTGCTGAACTGAAATAATCCCTACCTGGAAAGAAAGTGGGGATTATAAGGCTGTGTAGAACTGTATCGATATGTAATACCTGGTAAGTATATTAGTGCCCTTTTCTTCCTTCTGGAACCAAACTAGTGTTCTGTGAAAATGTGATCCAAAACCTAATTTTCTGAGCATCCATCCATCTAATTAAAGCTCAGTCCAGTGATTTCAATGGAGTGTCTCAAAAAACCATGCTGATCACCATTCAAGAACTGTGCCATGTCCTTCAAAACAATGCATGTTTTATTTGTAATGGAATATGACAAGGTTACACAGTAGTAAATTCACAGTAGTGATTTATTTGTTGTATGTAACAAAAATCCATAAAGAACAAACACTACCCCCAGAAATACTTAACATCACTTTATAACCGCAGGGTCTGTGCTGTGATTTAAATAAATATGTAACATTTCTGTGCTACCTTTAGTAACCAATCATTGTTTGGTTGTTTTTTTTTTTCTTTGCTTATATTAAGAAATGTACAATAAGGCTTCTAGGGTAGCGAAAAGTGAGTAGTAATTCTCATAGAGCTTGACCTTTGTCTGTTGCTTGCTGTTTTGGAGTCCTAGGGTTCGAAACCAAGAAAGAATCTAATGACAGCCTGCAGGCCAGCAGGCTGTCCAGTGACATCACTGGGCTAGAGCTCTTTACTCCTGGGGAGAAGCCAGTCTTAGAGAGGGAAAGGAACAAAGAAGGGGAAGAAAAGGAGCTGGCTTTACAGTAACCTTCCAAAAGCTGGGCACTATCAGGAAATCTCTCAAACATAAACATATCCCCAAACACACTCAGCCATATACACATTCACAAGTTCCCACTGAGACATAGGCCTATTTTCCCCAGGAAACATGGAGGTCAAGGTGGATAACATAAAAACACGCCATCTACCTGGTAATGCACACTCAGAGAGAGGCTCACATACATGGGGACACACCCCATACACACACTCCCAGAGAGCCTCCAACAGCAGGACTCAACTTTGTTGGTGTCACTGGGTAGCTGGAACACTTGCTCAGTCCCTGGTCTGGCAGTTTGTCAGTCCATCATGCTGGTGGCACTCCATACAGCTACAGCGGTTATGTAAACACATGTACTCAAGACAGATGTGAAATGAGAGAACTGGCCATGACTGTATGATGTGGGCAGGGGGAGCACCCCATGCTGCTTCAATGCCAACATGGCCAGTCTCCCCACTAAAAAGGACCCCAAGCTCTGGGCAACAAACCACAATGCAACAAGCACACCAGGGCCACCTACCTCCCACCCTTTGGCGAAAATAATCTGTCTTCTTTGTAGCTTTCAAAGGGGAAGGACAGAGAGGAAGGAGATGATAATAGCTGGTGGGGAAAATGGTGGTTAAGTATTTTAGCTAGGGTCTGCTTTACGAGCTTTAGCAAAAGTAGCTTTCACTTTGACATAATGGGTAACGCAAAGGTTGAACTATATAACCTTTCTAACTTCCAGGATTCAGATTTTAACATTCAGTTTATGGTCTATTAAAAATGGTCATATTTTGATAAGCAGACACTTAGGAACAAAAGTTATCTGTTGGTTAAAATACCACTGGGCAAGACAGCAATCTCAGGTCTACACTCCTCACATTTAGTGTTAGAATTTTAATAACTTAAGTTGAAAGTTACAGAAAATCTATAAATGTTTAAGGTAAATGAAATCCTGTCTCCTCTATAGGAACATCTATCCTACTAGCCTCGAGGCAAAGTTGGCCCTCTTTAAAAAGAATAGGCTACTGGTTCCAAGCACTGAAATAAAAATTTATTGTGTTCAACTGTGTGATGAAGCTTTATGTACCCTGACTTTTTTAATGTCATTTACATGGTTCCCACTGTACCAGTAACTCGAGCTATAAAGAGGTTGAAAGTGCAAAAGCTGTAAAGGATCCTGCATTTGATTTTGTCATTCTTTCAGAAAGGACTGAATACAAAGTTAGTGTAAGAAAATCGATACTCAATTTAAAGCAGAAACAATAATTTCAGGAAATGTGACGTTACACGTTCTTATGCAGAGTAGGAGAGAGAGACAGAGGAAGAGAGAAAAGAAATTCTTTCATTTAAATCTTTCTTCACCCTACTGGGAACGTACATGCCAAAATGAATGCACGCACCATAAACCCCTCTAGACTGGTTATTTAAGACAGGGTTGGGGGTGCCGTGTTTTAAATGCTGAGGAGTGGTGACGTTATTACTGTATGTATGTACATTTGTGGCACCTCCAACTATCCTAACTTCCTGGTGCAGCAGCTCGTCTGTGGCCTTATCCTCTACACAGCCAAAGTCTCACACATATTCACCATCCCTTACCCGATCTCCTAAATATTTCCTGAGAAAGACATAAGGAACTTCCAGTTTGAAGGGCCCTAACGGCAAATACTAAGAAGTACAAAAGCACCATGGTTACGTGGTATGTATTTTCATAAACAGAACCATGTCGTTAACAGTACATCTTGGGCCACACCCATGGGTTTCCCCTTCTTTCTTTTCCAATACAACTTTCTGTGCTGAAGGCTGTTGAACTCAAGAATGATGCTTACTTTTCCAGGTGCAGGTGTATTACAAATATCCAAAGCCAATTTTGATTTTAAAAATGACACAAAAATTCTGTGCTGCTTGTGGAATGTGTAAACAGGTACATGCACACATATTAAGAGCATGTTGACAGTGTTGTCCTTTACTGAAGCAAGCAAGGTCACCACTTCCCTACAGATCTGGGAATGGAAGAATGAATACTTGGTAAAGGTTTTTGCAGACACAGGAAGCCAAACAAGAGGCCAAGACAGCCCACTGCATGGTGTCCAGAGAGGCTCCTTAAGGTGTTGCCCCTCAGTAGGGCTCTGCCAGGAGGCCTCTCAGCCCACAACCAGGGCAGCCAAGGGGACAGCTCTCTGAAACCAGTTGCATTTACAACCAGGAAGGTTCATTCTGGACCAGAACTTTGGCTCTCTACTCCTCTTTCCCCAAACTCTAGCATCCATTCATTTCTGTCCTCTTGACCAACAACTAAGAGCAATTTACACAGCAGAAGCCAAGCAAGCCCCTTTCCTGGTATTAAGTGGCCGAGGTGGTTAAGTTGCACAGTGACGGTGGTCAGAAAACACAGGACAGCAGTAGTGGCCAGTGTGGTTGGCACTGTTTGGTTTCCCTTGGCAGGGCAACTTGGTATGAACTTCATGAGAACAATCTTCTGGGAAATCAGATGGCTCCATGTGGCACCTGCCAACCCGAGTCACAGTGTTGGTCTCCCCTGGTTGGTGTGGAGCAAGGGGAAGGAATGGGTGGGTGGGGCTCCTGCTTTGGCCTGAAAGGGGCATACAGCTGGTTTGTTCTCCTGGGTGCTATCCCATGGGCCATTCCACACTTCCCTCCAAAAACATTGGATGGAACCGGGCTGAGGCTGTGCAAATAGCCTGAGGCCATATATGGAAAGCAGGTCCCAGCATGCCCGTGTGTGTGCTTAGGAGGGTGGCATGACTGAGGCCCACGTGGGCGATCTCAGGGCTAGGAAAGGGCTACCTGCTTCAGGTCAGCTGAGGAGTGGAACCGGAAACAGGGCAGGTAGGTTTTCTCTTTGGGAAGAAAAGCAGATCAAATCACTTAATGGCTGTAACCTGACAGTGCACATTTTTTGTGGGGACCTTTCTCTTAAGGATCTAAGGCAACAAATAACAAAGACAAGGCAGGCAGGCATCTCCCAAACTGCCTACCACTCCCACAGGGGGATATGGACATTTAAATACATAAATGCATTGTGTGGGTGTGTAGTGTCTGATTTCCTAAAACAGAATAAAGACGAGTAAACAGAATAAAAATGAGTCCCCAAGTATCTAGGAGGGGTTGACCAGAGGCAATGGGGACGTGGTGCTGGGTAAGAAGCAGGGACTAGTTGAAGGCAAGGCTCCCGAGGTTGCAGCAGCTCTGCTTTGGTTTACAGCCGTCACAGAAACTTCTAGAGAAGTCCTATCCATGAAAATCAGATGCCACCAGTCAGTCACTATCTGTCGGGGTGGACATCCCTTGCTTCTTTCCAAATAAAGTGCAGATGGTCAAAGGACACTGGTGTATCATCTGTCGTTTTCAGTCCACAATAAAGCATAAAAATTTTTTTTTAAAAAGACACCCCCTCTGGACATATATATCTCTCTCTCTATATTCTTCTTTTTTTTATAAAGCCACAAATATAGAAATTTTAAACCGATGTCTCAGACTGTAAGCGAAGAACAAATTTGTGAGATTTGGGGTCTATGAACTCTTCAGAGAGTACGATGAATGGAATTTTCTTCACGTTGACTACGAGGCTAAAATCTAAGCATTTGAGGACAAAAACGATTCCATCTCGTAGCCCGTTAGTCACAGCCTCGTCACTAATAAGTTTCCACTGCGTAGACAGCCAGCGATCTTTGTCATACTGCAAGGTGGGGCCCGCACTGAGGTATCGTTCTAGAAAGGCCTGAAAACAAAGACATAATATTAGGGAAGAAACCCATGTTCCCAGGGAGTCCTGCCATGGGCTGTTTTCTTACACCTAGGAAAATGTTTTCCAAATACACCAAGACCTCAGACCAGAGCTCGGCTTCTCACACTGTCTTCCCGTCAGACCCTCCCAACTGAGTCACTACTGGGCAGGGAAGACTTCCTCATTTGGCCTTTGTCAATTTCCAACCATCGGGTGGGACGGTGGTACCCACAGAGGTGAGGGACTCAGATGGCTGCTATGGATGTTTGCCTGCAAGTCACTGCTGCACCAGCCCACTGGAAGGACATGAGCACACTGCACACACTCTCCTACCTCCCACTAAATGGAAGATTCCTTGGGGGCAGAGCAAGTGGCAGGACAGATTAGCACTGAGCTGAATACACACAGGAACACACTTGCACAGACGAAAGTGCACGCTCCACCATCTACCGGTTGTGTGACTCTGCCCGATCTAGCTTCTCTGCAGGTGGAGTCAGCACTCCGTAGCTCACAGGGCTGCCACGAGGATGGAAGGGTTGGCTTTCAGAAAGCATTCGGCAATGCCTGGCACACAGTAAGCACACTCAGTGTGAGGGATGGCTATTTTATGTTGGACCGAGTGCCACGAATGGCCAACCAATGTCCCCCTACTTCCCTCTCCAGAGCTCTTGTTCCAGGGGCACCTCAGTTGCTGGAGTTTTCTGATCCCACGACATCCTCACATGCACATTCCTCTTGCTAAACGTTGTTCTGCAGATTTCTCTTTGCCCTTCAACCTTCTGAAACCATCTCCTTGACTATCTCAAATGGATTAACCTGTCCATGTCCACCCCTCAAAGCTCCTGTCATCCCTGGCATGATTTCATGTGACATTTTACTTTCTGAACTGTCGTTCTTGACTTGCCTGTCTCCTCGCCCACATTAGGCTTCACTCTCTTGGAGGGCAAGAATTAGGCTGTCTTTTCCTTATCTTTTTTTTTTTGCTTTTTTTTAATTTGAATCTCCAATGTACCTAGCACAGACTAGGAGAGCAACAGCACTTGAATTAAATATACATTGACTTAGCTGTGAGAAGAATGAGGCAGAAACAGACAGAAAAACAAAAAAACACCGGGATCTATCAGTCTGGTCCTAGACCAAGGCCAAGGACAGTTTTTAAGTGGGATTCCCTTCCAGTCACACCTCTCTGCTACTGGAAGGTGTATTATTTCTGATTTGTGAGGCAGAAAGCAGAGCCTTGCCTACTTTCACACTTCTAATACAAAAATAGCTCTTATGAATCAGAAGAAAAAGAGGTAACTCAATAGAGAAATGAATCTAAGATAATTTATGGAAGAATATTAACATGAAAATTTTTCCATTAATAAGTGAAGAAATGTACATTCACATAATAAAAAAGGTTCCTCCTCTTAGGTGAGGCAGTGATGAAGAAGAATGATAACCTCCCATGCTGCCCAGTGTGGGAGAAACAGCATCAAATGCCAGCCACAAAGCGTGTGACGATAACACCCTGAGAAGGACAATGGCAGAATCTGTAACTATTATCCTGCTGTTCCTCTACTAGAAATCTCTCCTTTAGAAATAAAATACTCGCACACACACCTAAGTAGAAAAAGGCATTCATTGCAGCACTGTTTAGGCCAGGGGCTGGCAACTTTTCTGTAACTAAATATTATCAGCTTTTCAAGCAATGCCCTCCTAACCACTCAACTCTCTGGCACAGCAGGCAAGCAGTCATGCTGATAGGTGCATAAAACGGTATGGCTGCATGCCAACCAAATTTGATTCACAAAACAGCCAGGCCCTTGCTTTGACTAATGCAACTATTAATTCAAATGTACATTAACAGACAACCGGTCAGACAAACCACGCATGTGGCAGAATGAGATGCAGCTATGAACAGGGACCATAGGACTGCAGGTCTATGGGTATTGACATTTGCCAAGGAGCTTTAAGTTAAAAAAATAAAAGGCAGGTTTCCAAAAAATAGATCCCATTTCTGCTTTCAAAACACACAGACACATACACACAGCTGAGAGAATACATACCAATTCTTTATCAGCAAGAATTATTGGGGTGTGGGGGTGAAAATGTCACTAGACCTTCTTTAAAGTTTGGATTTTTAGACTAAGAATATTATTTTTTAATTCAGAAAAAAATAGAAATTTTAGTTCTGGCGGTACTGGAGTTTAAACTCAGGGCCTTGCACTTAGCCAGACAGGCACTCTTATCACTTGAACTACGTCTCCAGCCCAAGAAAAGTAAAAAATTTAAAAATGGAATAGGAAGCTGTAAGAAAACTTCAGTCTTAGAAAACAGGGAACTGTTCTGTTGCTTTGCACATAGACATTTTCATCATTTGCAACCAGTGTTCTTACTTTGTAGCATTCTTCTTTTTTGAACGATAGCCTAACAAAGATTATTTTCCATATTTCAGCAGGTGGCTACATCAGAATTTATAAGCTGCTGTTCTTTTTAAAAATTATTTCCAGTTTGGAATCATCCTGGGTTTGTTATTGTTTGAAGGCTCATGTGTTAAAACCTAAGTCCTCAGCTGGTGGTGCTATTTTGGGAGGTTCTGGAAACTTTAGGAGGAGGGGCCTAGCTAGAGACAGTAGGTCACTGGGGGCGGGTCCTCACAGGAATCTCATCCTGGCCCCTTCCTGTTTGTTTCTCTCTTTTTCCTGTCCGCCAGGAGGTGAACAGCTCTTCTAAGCTCCATGCTCCCACCACCAAGATGCTGTGCCACTCAGTGAGAACAGAAACATGGAACCAAGTGACCACGGACAGAAATCTCTGAAACCAAGGGCCAAAATAAATCTTTTCTCCTTAAAGTTGTTCTTTCTGGTATATTAGTCACAGTGAGGGCAAAGTAACTAATACAAGATTACTTTGAAACAAAAAAAACAAAACACTTTGAATATACATTCATGTATCTTGCTATCCGTGAAGTACTGGCTCCAGATCTAAGCATGAGCAAGTCCCTCGTATAAAATGATACAGTATTTATATTTTATCTACACACATCCTTCCTTATACTTTAAATCGTCTCTAGATTACTTATAATAGCTAATATGGTATGAATAGTTCTGCTACATTATTTAGGGAATCATGACAAGAAAAGAAAGTCTATAAATGTGCACACAGATGCAATTTTTTTACCAGGGTACTTCCCATCTGTGGTTGGTGGAATTTATGGATGCAGAATCCATGGATATGGAGGACTGACTGCGTATCTGATTGTGTTGAATATTTTCCCTAGCAGAGGATTACTGAGTCAAAGAATACAGAATATTTCTGAATCACTTTCCTAAGGGGTTATAGGACTGATAATGTAACCAGCAGGACATGTACAGTATAATATATAAACCTGGTCCTTATTATAAATAGCTATCAAATGTCACAGGTACACTAACACCAAGCTCACTCATTTCCTACCATGTGATTTCTGCCATAGTGCCTTATTTAAATGTCATTTTTATACAACAACTCTGCTAGGCAGATATTACTACTGCCTACCAGAAAGGAGGAAAACAGTGTACAGCACTGCTGGTTTGTGCACAACCACAGGATTTGAACCAACCTGTCTGAAGATGTAGCATTTGCTACACCCTTTATTCTATATTGCCTTTTTGGCCACACCCCCTCCTACATACATGGATGTTTCTTATGATATCCCTAAACGTATGTTAATACCACAATCCAAGATGTAGGCTGGTGCATCAGTGCCCTTGGTGCACCCAAGGCACCAAGATCACTCACTAAAACTAATTCCACCACATCCAAAATGGCAAACAAAGCAATAGTGTTATTTCTACCAATATCAAAGCTACTTAGTCCTTATCCTGTGATGGATACTATTTTAAGTATTTCACATGAATTAGCTAAATCTTTTTGCTCCCAAAACAACCAAATGAGGTAGGTATTGGTATTATTCCCAATTTATAGGTTAGGTAACGGAGGCACAGAACCAGAAGCTATCTGCCCAAGGCTGCTCAGCTAATTAGTACAGGAGGCAGGTTAGAATGAATCGGTTCAGCTCCGGTGGACACAGGGTATCCCTCATCATCACTCTGGGCTGTCTCTTGGTATAAGTCTTTCCTCTGCTAGAACCCAGAGGCCTTCAAAAGACACTTGTAAAAAACAATTACATGAAGGCAATACAAAATAAGTGAGAATCACTACTTCTTCTCACTCGGTGCTTCAGAGAAGCCTCCAACTTTATCATTCCCGGTGTTGGTTGAGTACCCCAATCCAAAGATACAAAATATAAAATGCTCAAAAGACTCTGACGCGATGCCACAAGTCTGATGCTCAATGTACACAAACTCTGCTGCCTGCACAAAAGTATTTCTAAAAAATGCCCAAAATTACCTTCAGGCTATGTGCATGAGTATATATGAAGCAAAAGGAAATTTCGCATTGAGACCTGGGTCTCTCCCTAAGAGATCTCATCTATATGCAAATCTTCCAAAATACGAAGAGAAAAGTCCAAAATCTGAAGCCCTCTTTGTTCTGAGCATTTCAGATAAGGGATATCTGAGCAAGACACCCTAAAATGTGACTAGCTGAGCCTGGTGACAAGCTGGGCAGACGTCGACAGTGGTGAGCACACCTTGGGGGTCATGCTGTTGGTGATGCAGAAGGCCAGGTGCTGCAGGATGCTCTCCATGCTGTGATAGTGCTGCTGCCGAGTGGTGCGCAGGTACTTCTGCAGTGCCCTGGCCATGGAGGGGAAGATGGCCTGTGCCGTCTCCCTGGGGTCCATCACCTCCCCTGGGGCTTTTTGCTGCTCCTCAGCCTGGAGACGCTGGATATGGGTGAAGGCCTCTTCCACAGCCACTACCAGCCTAGAAGGGGATGGAACAGTCATTAGGGGGGTGTCCACACAGGGCTGGAGAACAGCGTCTCCTCCAGGACCTGGAGGGCCACCTGTCCATCCTGCTGCAGCCGGGTCTACCACCAACCACACAAGGCACGCCACTGATGTCCCTGACTGTCACCTGAAGGTTGAGGGAGAAGGCGAGAAAGAAAGATGAGAGCAAGAATAAGATGTGGATGGGGCCCTGGGGCTGAGAGATGGACTCTAGTTTCAATTCTGCTATAATGAGCTTGGAAAATCACTTCCACCCAGCTTTTCATTTCCATAATGCAGGGTTGGATAAAGAGTGCTGAGGCCCCTCAAACTCTGGTTTGAAGGGCTCTTTGAACACTGAGAGGAAGTGAGTGCACAGAAGCAGCTTAAAAGGAACCAGAGTTTTGTCCCCCTGATCCAGACACCCACTCCAACAGCTCCTGGGAAAGGGAAGAATGAGGCCCATGGTGAACGAGGGAAGCCACTTTGTTCCCATCCATTAACTAGAGTAGATGTGAAAACCAGCACAGGTAAGAACAGGCCCTCCGCAAGTATGGGCCATGGTTCCAGCAGCACCAGAATCCCCTGGGAATCTTCTAGAAATGCAAATGCCCAGGCCCAACTCCAGACCTGCTGAGTGAGTAGTCACCCGGAGTGGACCCAGAATCTGTGACTGTGTTATCTCCTCACCCACCATGCTGTACTTACCTATGAGGACTGAGAAACACTGGAGTGAGTCACTCCCAGGGCCCGCAAGGTCATGTTTATAAATGGAAGATTCATTCTGACAGTGAGAAGACAGGGGGAAAAAAACCAAACCAGATAAAACCCTACATGATGGCTTTGACAATGGGGGACACGCACCTTGCTCTCCGCTTCTTTACCCGCCGTTCATGCTCAGCCTCTTCATAATACAGCTCGTTGTGACTCGAGTCCCTGCGCCGAGCAGCTGCAGCAATCATCGCTCGGGATTGGCCAGTGGCGTTGTTACTGGGGCCTTTGGGGAAAGGATGATGGAGGAGAAAGAGCTTTACCACCAAGGGGCTGAGAACCAGCACTGGAGACTATCAGTACTGTCCACCCACCCCTAAGAAACACACACACGAATCCTAAAGTTACTTCCCAGGAGGACCACATTTACTGTGGCCAAAGCATGAGAGCCAGGAACCTCTCCAATCTGATGGGAGCTGGGGATGGAGAAAACTCAAGTGGGTGAAGAACACTGAACACTGAAAATGTTAGCTACAAGCAACACCCACAGTGTACTGACGATGTCACTTACCATCTGTTACATAAAGTTTCAGTTTGGCTAAAAGGGCAGCTGGGACATCACATTTCAGAAAACAATGAGAGAGAATGAGCGGGGTGGGAGAACAAGGACAGACAGAGAAAGAGAAAGGGGACATGCAACAATGATCACACACAGGAAAACAAGTTAAGCTGCCTGTCATGTGGCTACAAGTACTACAGAAAACTCCAAAAATGCTGGAGCACACGAAAATGGCCTGTTCATCAGTCAGCTTAGAACTCCTGCCCTGTTCCCTGATCACTGACCACCTTTGTCAGAAAGACATAGCAGAATCTCAGGTTTTCTTGTGGGTGACATGGTTTCACCAGTGGAAGTCTGCTAAGTTTTTAGATCACTGGTGAATTTTACCAGTCCTTCAGGATTCCTGAGGAAGCACACACCTGGTATAGCCAAAAAAAAAAAAGAAAAAATCAGGAAGGATACGGTCACCAAAACCTGATACCGTATATAAATCACTCGACTTGTTGACAACATGATCCTCTTCTAGAATCTGTAAAGCTCTTGCCCTGACCCAAGGTGCCCACAAGAAATGACACTGTGTCTTGTTTCTTACACTTAACCATCAGATACCTGAAACCCAGTTTGAACTTCCCCACCCTGGCCTCCAGCGTCCTGCCACCCACTTTCCTCTGCCTCCTAGTCAGAACTGAGAAATGCCTGGAAATCTGAGAGGTTAGATTTGATGGACTTGGGTAGGTCTTGGAGTCTTTGGGTAACTTAACCAAATTTTGAGAAGCAGCCCTTTCCTAACAGCTTGCTATAAGGCGTTCCCTGCAGGAGGCAAGACACAACCTTTACTGTTTCAATCACAAAATCTCTAAATGAATGACTGTAAATCAACAGTGCTTTGAAAATGTTTGCCTGCACTGAAGACATTGTTCTCAAATGAGAAAAGACCACGAGGTAAACACAGAGAGGAGGCAGAACCAAACGTACAGAGTTTAAGCCAACCAGTCACCCACCGGTGCCACTCACACAGACGCCATGTAAAACACACACCGTCAACATTGTAGACTTTCAGCCCGGCCATGTGTTTAGCTGCCCGGAACCTGGAGGCCGTCAGGAGGTTTGGGTTATAGATGGTGAAATCTTTGTAATAATTTTCCAGAATCACCAGTGCTGCTCGTTGTATGCTGTTAAAAGAGGGGAAAATTTAATGTAAAACTTTTTCACGGAATAACCAGGTCCTAAGTCAAAAATTCTCGTTCTGAGCCAGGCAAAACAACAAACTATCCAGGATAATCTCTCACAGAAGTCTGCTGGGTTCCACACACCTTGTGTGTCCAGGATGAGAATTTCAAAACCAAGTTAAACCCATTGTCAAGTGGCTTCCTTGCCCTCTCCCTAGAACTGTCATTAGCCACTCACCATCTTCTCAACAGTTCGAAGAGTGACTAAGCTTTAGGTTAGGCTACCCAGAATTTTCCTACTTTTCCCCAGTTTACAAAAAAGGATGCTGAGAACTCCCAAAAGGGCAAGAGACTTGGTGGTGGTCACAGAGTTCATGAGTGAAGAACGAAGAACTAATTCGAGTTTCTTGGGACCTAGCTCAGGTTCTGCCTCCTGTACCTGACTGCTCTCGGTGTGAGGAATCCTGGCTTTTAGTTCTCACGTACATCAGAACAACAGCACCCAAGTAGGGCAGAGTCTACTTGCAAGAAGGCTTCAGCTCACACCATCTGAGCTCTGTGGTCCACGAGGCCTCCTGCCCCTTGGTCTGCTGTCTCTGGCACTTGGCAAAGGGCATGAAAGGGGACAACCCTGTCACAGTGTCCAGGTCTCCAAGCTACCTTTTGCTTGGACTCTGGGAGAGCAATGTGGGAGCACAGAAAAGATTATGTCACAAGCAGGAGGTGGATGCTGGAGGCCACGCATGCTCAAAACCAAACAGGAACACGCTCTCGGTCTCAAGATGCAAGGCGCCTGCTACCTCAAGAGCAATTTCCTAGGACATAGGACGGAACTGTACATGTCCCAACTCATTTGATCTATATTGTTTGTGGTAGGAAAAACAAGACTGCACAACGGCACACAAAGAATTCTGACGTAGATAGACAAACCTCCTCCTTGGGCTCTTGCCCATGACACGTGGCCTCTGTGTAACAGTGAGTGTGACATCTGCAGCTCTCAAAGCTGCTCACTAACCCCAATGTGCTAAATACCACAGCCACCCTGTCTTGCCCTCCAGATTCTCCTTCCTAATACCCTGCTGAGCAGATGGGCTTATAAGGATTGTTTATAATAGTTTGAGCACCAGGGCAGGGCTGCCTGTGATTCCTGAATGACCACGCATCATCTCAATACTCTAAGTGGCTCTGGGATCTTCACTTCATACCGAATGATGCAGCCCCTAACTTTCCAGCTAGAGATATTGTCAACCTACTCTCAGCTCTGTTTTAAGAGTTTAACACAGGGGCTGCAAGTGATCTACAAGCCAGTCATCAAACCTCCTTAACAGTGGAGTCATGGCAATGCTTCATAGTTATATCCCCAGCAGTGCAAATCAGTGATCAGCATTCAATTAGTGCTTAATACCATCCTAGGTATGTTATAGGGGGGTTGTCAGGGGAAATCTATGGGATAAACTTCCATAACAGAGGTCTAAGATTCCCTGAGAGCAAATTCCCATGGTGAAAGTCCTGGTCACCCCATCAATCCGTGACTTGCTCGACACTCTCACAGTTAAGTGCCTGCATTGCCTAGCTTGGGAACTCAAGGATAGATGGAAGGGGTGTCTTCTCAACCAAGTACATCGGGGCAGAACCGATGTGGCAATGGGATTGCCCTCACTCTGGAATATATGAAGGCTAAGCAAGCAAAAAAGAGCCTGGAACACTGCCCAGAACAGCCAGGGGTACAAAGGCAGCTTCCCTGGGGAGATGGCCCTTGAGCTAAGGTTGATGTCATTTCAGATCTACATGCTTGCTCTGAGCTCTGGCAGACGGCTGCTCAGGAGGTCCCAGCCTCCTCCCGGCCCCTTTGTCTATGGCATCCTCAGAGGGGGCAAGGGCGCCTTCATTCCTACTGCACCAGAGATACAGCACACCTCCTTGGTAACAGGTATAAGCGCCTCTTCCCACACCTCTGCCACTTCCGGCCCTGCCATGTGCTGACTCTCCCGAGCCTCTGGCTTTTGTAAAACTCTGTGCTAGGGTAAGTGTCAGTTACACACACAGACATACCACATCAAGTGACTTCTCTGTGCTGGGATTCTAGCAGAAAATTACTTCCCTGCTCAAAATTTAAAACTCAAAAGGCAATTTTCAGAGGTTCTGCTCAGGCTTGTCTTCCAAGTAAAAGCTTCTGGTGGTGGCTGTGGGTTTTACCTTTGCTGTTCAGCCAGGCTGCAATGGGGGACCCAGAGAATCCCACCCAATCAGTAGGGTCAGTGAAGGACCAGCACAATGCTCAACACCTCACCCCATGAGTGTCCTGTTCTGTCTGGAGAAGTGGCTTCTGGCATCGCTTGGCTCTAGTAGGGGTCCTCCCCCACCTCCCATCATGAGGCCTCAGACAGACACCCTCCAACCTGGGGTGAAGCAACAGCCCCTGGTAGGCAGCCTCAGAGCAAAGCCATGGGTGTCTCCTGGGAAGTGCCCAGGGATGGGCGGGTACCATGGGACAGACACAGTGATTTAGGCAGGGTCTCAGTCTTCCTAAGGCTGACAACCTCAGCTCGGAAGAGCCACGCAGGAGGAAAAGCACAGGCGTTCTGCTCAGGCCCTCATCTCACAGCACCACTGGAATGATTCAGCCAGCAGCAGGCCTGGCTGGCCTCCCAGCTGACAAGTGAGAGCTGAAGCTCTCTCAGGCCAAATTTATAAATGCCTCCAAGAGCTGTGTGCACTCTCACCTACAGAGAATGGCTTGTCCAGCACTCAACTAATCTCCCAATACTGTGTGTCAAGAACACGTGGCCAATGTGGCCAACTTCAAGAAATGGCTGTGATTATTTTTGGATTAAAATACAATATGTCATGCTTCTACTTTTTACAGAGAGTAAGGGTGTAATACAGTTTAAGCCTTGTCAAGACTCTCAAGATGATGATGTGTGTCTTCATTCCTGAGCTGTGCCTTACACATGACATGTGACAGTGAAGACGAGGGTTCAACCAGCAGGTGGAGGTTACCTGTCCTGCTCTGCGCTCCAGTCACAGTGCACTCTGAATACTTACGGCTCCTTTTCTACATTCTTCCTTATCACTGGCTGTCAACAGCATACCAATTGCTATGCCCTGCATAGCTCCAAGGCCAGGATGCAGGAAGAGCCAGGTCCTTGGACCAATGGCAGGACTCAGAGTCCTTCCTGCCTCTGTCCCCTTCGCTTTGCACCCTGCAAATAAGGTACGACAGAGGACCAGAGGACTAACTTCCATCAGGAAGCTTTTTTCCACTCTTTGGTCTGCCCCTAAGCTCACATGGCAAACACTACACTGATCCATGATGTCCTAATCCCACCTCTTAACAGCCTGTCTGTCATGCATACATAAAAGACACCTTCAATTTCACCAGGGTCACAGTACTTGTGGGCTCAACTCTTCCATTCATGAATTTCATAAAACCATGGAAATTCAGAGACAGAAAGGACCTCAGAGGTGAACAAAAGCAAACCCTCCAACTAACCCTAACCTCTAGACTAGATAATACCTGGGGAAGGAGGAAGGCAAGAAAAGTCAAGTTGTGAGTAACTTGCTACCTCTCTTATCACCACTGGATTCAGAGACAAAAGGCAGGGCTTTTTGAGGACTGGCTAAACAGTCCTCACTCAGGAACCCTGTACTGTAGTCAGGTTGAGCCTGAGGTACAGACTGCAGATAGGGCCCCACCAAAATTCTAAGACAAGGAGCATTCTCTCAACACAGAGAACACTGAGCTCCATCAATTCTGCATCTCGGCACCCAATGATCTGTCACAACCCATGGAAATACTGCTTCATGGATTTGTGGGAAACAGCTCACAGAGATATGCCTAGGTGTCAGAGAAATTCACTTGAAAATGCATATAGTTCTAGGGCCAGTCCTGAAAAATTATTTCATAAAACCATGGTATTTCAGAGGCAAAAGGACCTCTGAAAATGTAAAGACATAAACATAAGAATTCCAGATACACATATGAAAAGACACAGGAAATGAAATACTCAGGATCACAAGGGACTGACGTTGCTAATAGTGGAAGCTCCTTGGCGATGCTTGGGCCCAAGGTCATCCAAATCTGAACCAATGACTGAAGGAATCAGCCACCCTTTACTCTAAAACTCGCTGTCTACCAGGTTGTTTTATAGGCCTATTTTGTCTTCAGGACAAAGAAAATGGAATGTGAATGGCTGTGGTCTTTGTGTCTAATCAACCACAAGTACACTTTCACAGTGTCATTGACAACTTTAAATGATGCTGTAACAACAGGAAAGGGGCTCAATCTTGAGCCACATTTCTTACACAGACCTGGGAAGAAAAGCACACGCCTGGAAATACAGTTCAAATTTTAGATCATAAAAACCTGAAAGATAAGATTCTTTGAAAGGTAAATTCTGAAGAAAACAAGAACACAAACCAAAAATGTTTTACATGTCTATACCTTCCACTGCCTCTTCGTCCCCCAAGTTCCAGGCCTGTTAGAGTCTAGATACAAAGACTGTGGGCGAAAATGTACATAGCACAGGTGGTTCACACAACACAACTCCCAGCTCTTTCACTTATTCTTTGATCTTATACAAATTAATTTCTCCAGACCTCAGTTTCTTCACCAGTAGGATTCGAATAACAATTCAGAAAACCTTGATATGCCCCAGAAAGTAGGCTCCAAAATACTGGCAGGTATTAAATGTGTTACTGATAGTCTAGAGAAATGATGGGGGAGGCTGATAGAGTCAGAAATTCTAGTGAAAAGCTCCAAGATCCACACGTCAGGTGCTGCCTAAAGATGGCATCATTTCTTGCATTTGTCCTACGAGCTTAATTATTAATGGGGGGGAGTGATTCTGAATTCTATGATTTTCTGAGACTTCACATTTCATTGACACTTGGACCAGTAAAAACACTGGCAAATATTTGAGAGTTCACCCTCTACCTTCCTCCTTCGACTTGTCTGCCTGGTTTAAGTTTGTCCTAAAGATTAAGATACTTTTAAAAGTACC